GTTATGGTTGCTGGACTGTCCTTTCTACCACCTGTTTTCAGCCAGTAGGGAGGTATTCATGGTTGTAACTAACTTGAGCAAAACAATGTAGCTGTGGACTGTTCTATTCTGCCCTGGAGCAGAAATCCGAGGCTCCATATTTAGAATTAGTTTCTGGGGTTTGTTTTCTGATCCCACCTCCACCTCTTCTTGGGCTGTCTTGCTTGCAATGAGAAGGCTGATTACCATATGTTAGCAGTTCTAGGCTCGGGTAAAATGAGTCAAGCTGCTGTTACAATTCCCATGAAGTTGTCCATCAACTGGGGATGCAGAGAGCAGACCCATTAGAATTGTTCAGGCAGGTGGTGGAGAACAGTTGAATACCTGCAGGAAATAAAACCTGAATTCAGAGCTCCTTTGAGGGAAACAGCATTCCCTTTTCCAGCAGCCTAACTGAAGAATCTTCATTTTACAGACAGTAAAGCACACACAAGAGGTAATGTTCTCAGTTTTTAATCAAAAAGAATTTTTCTCCAAGAAACTGCTTTTATGGGAGAGTTTCAGCCAGAACCTACAAATCATTGGGGATACCAGCCTGTTTAATTTGCATACAAACTTTAGATGAATATAGAAACAGTAAGTCTTTAGGAGCCATGGTAGCTGTGAAGAATATGAAAAGCCCTGTAACAGCTATCTGGTAAAGAAATGGTAGGCATAGTCCTCATATCAGTACTCATGTTACAGTGTATTCATGTCCTGTCAAGAGATGAAAAAATGAAATTAAATGTAAATGCCAAATAATTAGATGAGAGAAGGACTCATAACAAGGCACCTACATGATGGGTATTTAGACATGCTTGATTAGTGGGAAAAAGAAAGAACAAAGTCAATTAGCAAAGGAATATCAGTTACTGCATTTTCTCCGAAGAACTGAAGGCTTAATGCAATTAAACCCATTTAAGATGGTGCTTTCCCAGGTATTGTTTAAACTTCACGTCCTTTGCCAGTTAGTTTCACACATATTTTTTTACCAAGTGTATGAGAGAGGTTCAAAATTAGTATATCTCTGTTGTGTCTTTAGACATACTGTCCAAGATAGGATTACAAAAGTAATTCACACATGTATTTTATGTATTCAGTGCAATGAAGTCACGTTATGGATTCAGTTTGGCTGGGTGAAAAAAAATCCCATATCTGCATTTGCTGTAGTATTTCATCATTCACATTGGATCTGTCTGGCATTTGAAATAAGATACAGGCATGGACAACCTGCTTCAAGCTGTCTACAATGTCTACAGAAGAAAGATCATCCAGGATACTAAATGACCCGTAATTATTTCTCCAAGAGTTGAATTTGTGCTTCAGAATGCAAGAAAGGCTTACAAGTTGAAAGTTTTAGTCCAAGTTTTTAAGATGAAACCCTCTGCTTTATATGGTTAGAATCATAGACCAAAGCATCAAATACATTGCTTTTAGTTATTCTACTTCTTACAAATCCTTTCTCCCAGTGAACTTCCTACATACACAGTATGTTCAATGACAGCTGTTTTCATTTTGTATTAAGCTTATGTTACAACCCACCCCTGAAGGCAGAGTAGCTGAGGTTCTTGTTAATAATAGATCCCTTGGGGTGGGTTAGAGCAAAACGACTGGTGTTTATAAATATATATATATGGCAGGTTTATTTCAGGACATTTTGGTTGCAATGGAAAGGAAGTATGTAACTGTTTTGGTTATTATCTGTAGAAATATAGTAATATAGAAGCATAAAATTAACACTTAAATTGTATGAGGAAATGAAAGGATAGGTGGAAGGCCTCAGAAATGCGTCTGGGGGTGCTTCAGGGGTCTTTGATGGTTTATGACACCTTCTAAGACATGACAGCTGCCTCTCACGTCAGCTAGTTATGGCTCATGAGAGGAGGGATGAATACCTTCAAGCCTACATGTGAATGTAAATGTCCTGATACCTCCCCATCTATCCCACCTCCACAGGGTCTGCTTCTCATCAGCCTTCTCCCTTATCTGGCTCAACACCCAGCTTGTAGCCTCCGGTTGTGGGTGTGCACCCCCTCTGCACCTGGGCTATTACCTTGCAGAGAGCCAGCAAAGCAGCTGCTTTTGCAAATGGCCATTAACATTTTGGTCTCTCACTGCTTGCCAAATTTCTTCCAGAAAGCTTTTTATGTAGAGGGAGGGAAGTAAGTAAAAGATTTGGGAATGTAGCAGTTGAATCTGACAAATGCTCAGCAAACTGGATTTTAGGATGAACATAAGAGTTTGCTGTAAAAAGCCCATTGTCTTTGCTGGCTTTTGATTACTTTCCACAGGAGCTAAGAAAATGTTATCTGAAATTGCTGGACTTCGGTAAACCTGTTCTGAGAAGGTGAGTGCAGATTTGCATGACTGGAATGGTATCTTTTCCCCTTTGGTATGAGGGCACGTTCTTTTCATTATTATTAATGTGATTAATCAGTGAGGCTTTTTCTATATTCTTACTGGTTAAACCTGCTGTTCACGGGTATGTCTGTAATTTAAGCTTTTTTGCCAGCATCCAAGAAGACTCTGTATGTGTGGACTCCTTTATCTTGATTAAACAGTGTTATTTTAAAAACAAACATTAAACTTTTATGAAATAACACTGATTCCTGAGTGCTGTTTGTTTAAAAATTATTTTCTAAATAGAATTAAAAAAGTACAGGCTACTTTCAGGTATTAATAGTGGCAAAAGAGGGCGCTGGATTCTGAGGTTTCTTGATTCCTGAGGCTTTTATGTCCCTGCAGTAATGTCACTTTGTCACTTGGAAGAGCTGCTTAAATTAGGGAAAAAGGCTTTTTAAAGCTCCTGTCTCTATACTTAATTTGGAATCTTCTAGCTATTTTTAAACTCAGCTACCGTGTTAAATTATTCATGCAAACTTTTTTGTTATGTGTTCACAGAAATGTCTTGTTGATTCTTTCTGCAAGTATTTCACCTGAAGGGAGATGGTGCTGTGTTTCACTAACAAAAAATGTCCTGACAGCAGCTGCCAAACACAAAAAAGAATAAAGACAAACAACAGACAGCCTGCTTTTTTGTGCAGAGATTTATCATAACTGTTTATTATTCTAGAAAATAACGTGTGAGAGATTGCTTTACTGTATGGGTCATCCTGCTTTATATATGATGAAAAAACACAAACTAGTTTGTTGCTGCTGCTCAGGGACTAACACTTTAGAAATATTTATTTTCTCCACACAATGCTAACATGTTTCCTAGCAGTGCTGCCTGGTAAGTCGTACCCGTCAGGATAATCTTAAGTATTGAATTGTCAGCTCTGAGCATGTTGTTGTGTTGTAGATCATCTCCCTTTCTCCTCACTTAATTTGCTCCTGCAGAGGCTGACTAGTAAACTAATTACCATAGCCATACTGACATCCTTTGGCTGATAGAGGTGTAATCCAGGGATGGATTCAAACATTGTGTCTAGAAGGGACAACCTGTACTTTAATTGTATTCGAAACATCAGAGTAGCAGATATCCAGCTACTCTAGAAAATACAGTAAGCATGCATTTCTGCTGATAAGTCATTCAGGAACTTGGTACAGTATAGCTGGTGAAATAATTAACTGCCACACAAAGGCTGCATTTTAACCATGTTCCTCAGCAGAAATTACCTCCTGCCTGCAGGAGATGCTAAACCTGGTAGCCTGACAGCTATGAAGCTGCCTGCATCTCCATCTCCTCAGGTCCAGCCAGTGTTAAGGCTGAGTGTGTACTCCCAGTAGTCACACACACAAACATGTCTGGGTGTATGCACATGGCCAGCCACACAGATGAACACACATACAACCAGAAAACAGCACTTCTAAAAATGGAAACAGGATCAATGCCATAATCATGTTTCCCCCTCTGGAATGAAAGTCTGTCATGGACCATACATCATGACAAACAACAGAGGTTCCCTGAGTGCTGCTGGCACTCAGACCTGCTTGCACCCACAGACATAGGCACACACAGACTATGGATCTCTTCAACAACTGGCCTTAGACAGTCCACCCTTTAAACTGGTCCCGGTGCCCTCTCATCTCTACTGGGGCAGAACCTTACAGCACAGCAGTAAGGACTTAGGAGTTTGGAGAGCTGAAAGTAGTCAGAAGCTGGAAGAGTATTAAGGGAAGTGTCCTATGCCATTGTCCTGCTCTTGATCTTCTGTGGTACCTGCTTTTAGTTATACTACCAACAGGCTACTCAGAGCATGGTCTGACCCGGAACTGACGTTCCTACACACCTGGCAAATACAGGTGTATGTCTGGCAGCATACACCTGGTCTTTTAGCTGCAACGCAGTGGCTGGATTCTGCTGCATCCAAGCACTCTGAAAAAGCTACAGCATCCTCAGAGAAATCAATAAAAAATTTGATTTTGGTGATTAGCAGCACTTCAACATGCACACTCTGCACCTTGTAACACTCCAGTGTGTTTCATGCTTTTCCACAAGTGCAAATTTCAGGATGCCTCTGTCATGGGGATTTTTGACAAGCACAGAGCAAAGAGGCAAGACCTGAGGTGGGGTGGTGTAAACACTGAAAATAATTTGGCTGTAATGAAATAAAGCCTGCCTTAAGGTTGTCTTTGGCCAGGTTTCCTATGGAAGTGAGGTTTAAACCATCAGGGGGTGTATGTCTTCAAACTCAGTGACCTGGGCAAGTTCAACAAGCTTCCTCCACACAGGCAGCAGGTTCTTCTGGTGCAGAGGGGCTGCAACCTTATGCTTTATTAGATGTGAGAGAATCTGCTCAGGAGGAAGTCTCCTTTATCTTCAGTCAGAGCTCACATCATCCCACACACCAAAACCAGTCAATCACGAAAGGCAAATACACAGGAAACCAATTGTCTTTGTTAAATGACAGCTGGCATCCAAGCAGTGGAGCACCTCACATCTCTCAGAATAAATACTTCTGGGCTGTGGAGCCTCAGGCCACACATAGGCTGCCAACTTCCTTAACCTGTGTCTCACAGCGTGAGAGCACCTGACCAATATCCACCACACACATCCATATTCCTCCAGGGCTAAGGGGGCCAGAAGGGGTTTACAGTGGTCCACTCCTGAATGGAGAGGACAGCAGCAGCCTGGGCTGGTTTGCTTCTTCCCATAGGGGAAATTGGTGTTACATGGCTTTCTCAGTGCTGGCACAGTGTAGGGAGTCATGTATGGCTCCAGCCAGGACAATGCTATGAAGCTGCCTGAGGAACACATGGACTCCCAGACCTACAGCTCCCTGTGAGTGAGATGGGGAAGTAGCTGTAGCAAACTCAAACCAGGGAGAGAACAAATATGAGGAGAGCTGAGCTCAGTTCTGCAGGTTGACAAGTCTGCAGAGCTTTGTGTAGCACATGGAAATCTACCCCAGTTACAGCTCTGGTGTAAGCCAACAGCCTGAGTGGCTGCTGCTCCCAGAAGTAACCATTCTAGAGACTTCTGTGATGTCATTGCACAATAGCAAACTGCTTGGGACAGTATTACTTTGTTCAAGTAGCACTTGTATGCCAAACAAAAAACTAACTGTCCAATGTTCAGATGGATTTCCTCTGGAAGGGCCAGGATGCTGTACAGTTGCCATTCACACCTCTCATGCCTCCAAAATCTGGGTGATGAAAAACCCTACAGAGATAGGAAAAGAAAAAATCACAACTGACGAGACACAGAATGACAAAACAAAGCTCTCTTCCCTGTCCTTAGGAGAAAATTGTAGCTGCCTGCTCCAGGTTAGCATCACACCTCCAGTTGTTCTCCCCAGCCACAAGATCCATATCGTTTTCAAGAGACTGCTGGTTCCCACAGCACAGAAAGGACAATAATGCAGTTGCAGAACTAAGTGATGCAAACGGGAGAAGATGCCTTCCAAATTGTCCCTACCATGCAGTGTTGGCACAACTGAATGAAAGAGAGAAATCTTATTTATTTCTTTCAGAAGGCAGATGTCATTAGCTGAGTGCCAAGATGAATACAAACCTTATCCCTTGCCTATGCTTATCTGAATCATCTGAGTAGTGTCAATATGGTGTTTACCTGCAGTAAATGTAGATGACAGCAAATGTTCCCTTGAAATTAGCACAAAATCCTCACTTCTCAACACGTGCAGATTCAGGAGTGGACACAGAAACAATGTCTATATAAGAAAATGAATTTTTTCATGTACTGCTTGCTCCTAGTCCTTGCCTGTGGGAAGAAAAAAAAGAAGGTTCAGAAGTAAGGGCTAAATGTTATAAAGACAAGAAGCAGCAGCAACTGAGGAGCAAGGCCAGACTGGACATACGGCACTGCTTTGTACACTTAAGCTGTGCAAGCAAGGTGAACTCAACCATTATATTAAAAAAACCAAACAATCAAAACCAACAACAACAACAAAGTCACAAACTTTCAGCAGCAGTGTTGAATTTGTGAGGAAACAATCTAATCCTCCAAACCCCCAACTTAGACTACCCATCAGGCAAGGCTCCCAGGCAAAAACCTGGTAATGCTTTGAATAAATTCCACATTAATGGACTAGAGTAAAAGCAGCTAATTCTTAATAGCAGTGATAAGACAGCTTGTCAGAAAACTTAATTTCTTTTTGTTTTTAAAAAAAATTGAAGTAGCCTAAGGCTACACTTTACCAGCCACTATACAACTAGAAGCAAATACACAAAGAGGAAAGCCATATTATTTCTTTCACATTAAGATTTTAGTCTTAGGGAGGTAGTTTTCCCATAAATGTATAGATTGACCAGTCTTTAGTAGCAGAACTGGTGACTGAGCTGTCTTTTAGTGAAGAATTTCTAGCCCTTCGAGGTACTGTTTCTTTATCCTCCAACGTATCTTGAGGCTACAAGAGGCTTCGTACTTTGACTGCAGCTTTTCCTCTTTATGCCTGCCAAGGGCAATTTCATGAAGTACAGGACTCCTCTCCTGCAGTATCAGCTCACTGCCGGTGAGGGACTGGGATTGCTTTTGGCTTTCCCTGGCACGGCCCAGCCATCCGAACAAACCCTGCTTTCTTATCCATGCCTCCTTTCCAGTACCGATGTGCTTTCTGCGGGACTGCTGCATCTCAGGCAGGGGGGCAGTGCTGCCTGACAGAGCTGGGCAGAGCAGGCAAAATTGTCCCCTGTAACCCTGTAACTTTTGTCATTAATGATGGATCTGTATCCACGTGCACGGCCTTCCCGCTGAAGATGCTGGCAGCTGAGCGACTGGAAGAAGTGAACGCTGTTACACCCCTCCTCTGCCCCCAGAATTTAAAATAATTTAAAAAAACCGCTGGCAGAGCGTTGCCTCGAGGGGTTTCACTGCCAGCACGGAGCCCTCGGCATCCCCGAACGCCACGTCCCCACCGGGACAGCGGGGCACCGCTGCAGACCGCGCCGCCGGGGCGCGGGGCACAGGCGCCGCCCAAGGATAAACGAGTCCCGCGGATCCAAATTATTAATTGAACTGAAACGATTTCGGTTTATCAATGTCATTCTCCCAGGGGCAACCCCCGCGACAAGCCTCGCCACGCGCGAGGCATGCCGGGATTTGTGGTCCCGGCGAGACCCCGCGGGGACGCGCTCTCGCTGCGTGGCGCGGCTTGACCCTTCCGCCACCCCGTCCTCCCGCCCGTTGCGCGACGCCGCTCGCCGCAGCACATTCCAGCGTGGGCCCCGCGGCGGGGAGAGGCGTGTTCTCCTTCCGGGTCTGCCCGCGGTACTGCCTGAACAGAGAAGTGCGGTCCTTGGCTCGTGCCGTGCTCCTGTCCC